CCGCCTCCACCTGCGTCACCTTGGTGTGAATGGGCATGCCCTCCAGCACCGTCTCCTGCTCCTTCTCGATGAAGAGCGGTATCTCATCGTTCTGGTCCTTTAGGTAAATGTGCACCGTCGTCTCCGAGCCGAGCTGCTGAATGCCGTTGTTCTGCACCCGAACCGTCAGGTTGTACTGGTTGATGCGCTCATAGTCAAGGGGGGAGTTGACGCAAATGTCCGCCCAAATTTCGTCCCCTTCACCAGGGGACTGGATCACGTAGAAGGTGTCCTTCTTGTTCGTCTGCTCAGTGCCGCCCTTCATCAGCGTGTAGAAGACGGTGGGGTTGTCGGGGATGCCCGACCGGGCCTTGATGCTGATCACCTTGTGGCCGATGGGCACGTTCTCCGGTATGCGAATCGGCCCGTACTCGGCCTTGTCCCAGATCGGCGGGTTATTCGCCCGGTCCACCACGTCGATGCTGATGTCCACGGTGGCGCGGTGCTGTGGGACGCCGTTGTCGGTGGCAATCGCCCGCAGCGAGTAGTGGTCGCCGTCCAGGGGGCGGGCCAGGCTGATCCAGCCCGACTCGCGGTTGATGCGGAAGTACTCGAGGTCACTGGCCTTGTCCAGGACGGAGAGGTTGTAGCTGATGATGCCGTTCATGTCGGCGTCCTCGTCGGAGGCGGACACGCGGAGGATGTTGGTGCCGATGGCGGTGTCCTGGCGGACGTACTCCTTGTACTCCTGCCGGTCAAAGAGCGGTGCCTGGAGAAAGGGTAATACGGTTTTGTTTTTTTAACAACAACAATCCAAAAGAGTGCGTTACTTACATTATCGTTAATGTCGGTAATCTCCACCTTGAAGGAGCAGACGCCCTCAAGCGGGGGCGTTCCTCGATCCGTGGCCTTGACGGTCAACGACACAAAGCGGCCATCGTCGCCCTCGCGGTCAAAGACCTTGTTCGTCTTGATCTCCCCGGTGATCTCATCGACGACAAACTTCGTGCCCTTCTGGTTGGGCTGCTGGACGATGGAGTAGCGCACCTGGCCGTTGTGGCCCTTGTCCTGGTCGGTGGCCTTCACGGTGATGACGTGCGTCCCACTTTGGGTCGCCTCCTCCACTTTGGGCTCGTAGGAGGCGCAGTCGACGAATTCGGGCTAAATTGAGAAAAAGAAAAGATTAGCTCTGAAACCCCAAAACCACCACCACCACCACCACCACCACCACCACCTACCTTATTATCATTGACATCAGTGACAAAGACCACGACCAGCGCCGTGCTGGTGTGAATCGTCCGCGCGCCGTTCCGACAGCACGTCCCATCATCGCGGGCCGTCACATTCAACTCGTACTTGTCCTTGTCCAGCTCGATGCTGCCCGAGCTGAGGCGAATCACCCCGGTTCGCTCCTCGATGGTGAACATGCCCGAGGTGGTGCCGCCGCCGACGAAGCCAAAGAGAATGCCGTCGCCGTCCTTGTCGCTGGCCACCACCGTGGTGACCAGCGTGTCGGGGCCGGCGTTTTCGTCCACATTGGGCGTGTAGACGTCCTGGCTGAACTTGGGCACCTCGTCGTTCTTGTTCTCCGTGTAGACGCGCACGGTGGCGGTGCCGGTCAGCGGCGGGTCGCCCTTGTCGGTGGCCCGCACAGTGAAGACGTACGTGTTGTTGACGTCCGCATCGAGGCGCTTATTGGAGCGGATGATGCCCTTCGAGTCGATGACAAAGTCATCGCGGTCGACGGTGTAGACGATCTCCGCGTTCTTCCCCGTGTCCATATCGGTGGCGGAGACCTGGAGGATGCTGGTGCCGATCGGTATGTCCTCGTCAATGTTCAGCGCCTGGTAGTCGGGCAGCTCAAAGCGGGGCGCCTGAAAAAGAGAAGGTGTAAATTAGAACCACCAAAAGGTAAACAAACACCACCACCACCACCACTTACATTGTCATTCACATCCACCACCTTGATGGTAAG